CTTATAGCTACGAATAAGTCTCAAAAACCCCATTGACACAGTAGGAAACGCACATACCCCCATCTCCCATGGCCCCTACTGCCTCCCCTGGCCTCCCATCCAGGGCTTAATTTGTCCCCAGACTTGCCGGGGCTGAATAAGTCTGCAGTGAAAAGTGATACCTGTGTGTTTGTTAATATCACTTTTCACAGCAGACTTACTAGCTAGCAATACATACATTACAATGATTTGGACGTTTCTATGTACATATTTCTTTGTTTTTCCTAAAGCTAATTAAGTATTTTAGAGAAAAAGCGTGAGTGCAGCCATCAGCGAGAGTCGGTGGCTGCACTTTGAGGCCACAAAATAATTTGTCTTGAGAACATCTAGACTAGTTTCTGTCCTGCTTTACTCCCCTCCTTGGATCTTGGGTCTGAGTATTGGAGAGTTCTTCCCCCGGTCTCCACAACGAGCCAGATGGTAAAGAGGGGGGTAGAGAGAGAGAAAGGAGGAGAATGAATAGATCCTTTGCTCTCCCCACACCCCTGTGTTTGGCCAGAACAGCTGGCCAGGTGTGAAGACGGCAGTAAGATACACCCTTCCATGGGCTGCAGCAACTTATTTCTCCCATAAGAATAGCCATACAGATTCAGAAAAATGCTTCATATAGCCCAGTAGCCTGTCTTCCGACAGTGGCTGGTGTCAGAATGAACAGAACAGGGCAATTACTGAGTGATCCATCCCCTGCCATCCAGTCCCAGCTTCTGCCAGTAAGAGGCTTAGGAACACCCAGAGCATGAGGTTATGTCTCTGACCATCTTGGCTAATAGCCATTGATGGCCCTATCTTCCATGAAATTATCTAATTATTTTCTGAACCCAGTTATACTTTTGGCCTTCACAACATCCCCTGGCAATGAGTTCCACAGTTTGACTGTGCATTGTGGGAAGCAGTACTTCTTTTGTTTATTTTAAACCTGCTGCCTATTAATTTCATTGCGTGACTCCTGGTTTTTGTGTTGTGTGAAAGGGTAAATTTCACTTCCTTATTCACTTTCTCTACACCAGTCATGATTTTATAGGCCTCTATTATATCCTCCCTTCGGCATCTCTTTTTTAAGCTGAACAGTCCCAGTCTTTTTAATCTCTCCTCATATGGAATCTGTTCCATACACCTCATCATTTTTGTTGCCCTTCTCAGTACCTTTTCCAATTTTAATACATCTTTTTTTGAGATGGGGTGACCAGAACTTCACACAGTATTCAAGATGAGGGTGTATCATGGATTTATATTAGGGCTGTTGATTAATTGCAGTTAACTCACGTGATTAACTCAAAAAAACTTAATTGCAATTAAAAAAAATAATTGCAATTAATCACAGTTTAAACACACTGTTAAACAATAGAATTCCAATTGAAATTTATTAAATATTTGTGGATGTTTTTCCGCATTTTCAAATATATTGATTTGAATTACAACACATAATACAAAGCGTACAGTGCTCACTTTATATTATTTATTAGAAATATTTGCACTGTAAAAATTATAAACAAAAGAAATAGTATTTTTCAGTTCACCTCATACAAGTACTGTAGTGCAATCTCTTTATCATGAAAGTGCAACTTACACATGTAGATTCTTTTTTGTTACATAACTGCTCTCAGAAACAAAACAATGTAAAACTTTAGTGCCTACAAGTCCATTCAGTCCTACTTCTCGTTCAGCCAATCGCTAAGAAAAACAAGTTTTTTTACATTTACAGGAGATAATGCTGCCTGCTCCTTATTTAGAATGTCACCTGAAAGTGAGAACAGGCATTCGCATGGCACTGTTGTAGCTGGCATTGCAAGGTAATTGTGTACCAGATATGCTAAACATTCATATATCCCTTCATGTTTCGGCCACCATTCCAGAGGACATGCTTCCATGCTGATGACGCTCGTTAAAAAAATCTTGCATTAATGAAATTTGTGAATGAACTTCTTGGGGGAGAAGTGCATGTCTCTTGCTCTGTGTTACCCGCATTCTGACATATATTTCATATTATGGCAGTCTTGGATGATTACACAGCACATGTTGTTCGATTTAAGAACACTTTCACTGCAGATTTGACAAAATGCAAAGAAGGTACCAATGTGAGATTTCTAAAGATAGCTACAGCACTCGACTCAAGGTTTAAGAATGTGAAGTGCCTTCCAAAATCTGAGGCCTGGTCTACAATACGGGGTTAGATCGAATTTAGCCACATTAGGTCGATTTAAAAATGACCACGTCCACACAACTAACCCCGTTCCGTCGACCTAAAGGGCTCTTAAAATTGACTTCTGTACTCCTCCCCAACGAGGGGAGTAGCCCTAAAATTGACCTTGCTGGGTCGAATTTGGGGTAGTGCAGACGCAAATTGACGGTATTGGCCTCCAGGAGCTATCCCAGAGTGCTCCATTGTGACCACTCTGGACAGCACTTTGAACTCTGATGCACTAGCCAGGTACACAGAAAAAGCCACGGGAACTTTTGAATTTCATTTCCTGTTTGGTCAGCGTGGCGAACTCAGCAGCACAGGTGACCATGCAGTCCCCCCAGAATCGTAGACCGTAGAATGATGTTTCTATGCTCCCCCTATCATCTCTGTCCCTGAGGTTATCGAAGATTAGAAGGCGAAAAAAACGCACTGGCGATGACATGTTTTCTGAGCTCATGCAGTCCTCCTGCACTGATACGGCACAGCTTAATGCATGGAGGCATTCGGTGGCAGAGGCCAGGAAAGAATTAAATGAGTGCAAAGAGCAGAGGCAGGACGCGATGCTGAGGCTAATAGGGGAGCAAACGGACATGATGAAGCATCTGTTGGAGCTGTAGGAAAGCCAACAAGAGCACAGACCCCTGCTGCATCCCACCCTACACAGGCTACCTTGTCCATTATCTCATTTTTTTTAAAATTAAGAAAGATAGAATGCATGGTTTCAAAACAATAGTTACTTTATTTCGAAGGGGGGAGGGTGGTTGGCTTATAGGGAATTAAAATCAACAAGGGGTGCGGGTTTGCCTCTCTGATGCGCAGCGTGCCTTGCTGTGCTCTTCTAATCGCCCTGGTGTCTGGCTGCTCAAAATCACAGCAGCCTCCACAGTAGACTTGCCCACAACAGCAACGGTGATGGTGAGCTGAGTGGTATGGCATCTGCATGGGTAACCCAGGAAAAAAGGTGCAAAACGATTGTCTGCAGTTGCTTTCTCGGAGGGAGGGGCGACTGACGACATGTACCCCAAACCACCCGCGACAATGTTTTTGCCCCATCAGGCATTTGGAGCTTAACCCAGAATTCCAATGGGCAGCGGAGACTGCGGGATAACTACCCACAGTGCACCGCTCCATAAGTCGATGCTAGCCACGGTAGTGAGGACGCACTCCGCCGACTTAATGCGCTTAGTGTGGACATATGCGATCAACTGTATAAAATCAATTTCTAAATATTGACTTCTATAAAATTGACCTAATTTCGTAGTGTAGACATACCCTGAGAGGGATGAGGTGTGGAGCATGCTTTCAGAAGTCTTAAAAGAGCAACACTCCGATGCGGAAACTACAGAACCTGAACCACCAAAAAAGAAAATCAACATTTTGCTGGTGGCATCTGACTCCGAGGATGAAAATAAACATGCATCCGTCCGCACTGCTTTGTATTGTTATTGAGCAGAACCTGTCATCAGAATGGATGCACGTCCCCTAGAATGGTGTTTGAAGCATGAAAGGACATATGAATCTGGCACTTAAATACCTTGCATTGCTAGCTACAAAAGCGCCATGTGAACTCCTGTTCTCACTTTCAGGTGACATTGTAAATAAGAAGTAGGCAGCATTATCTCTCGTAAATGTAAACAAATTTGTTTGTCTTAGTGATTGGCTGAACAAGAAGTAGGACTGAGTGGACTTGTAGGCTCTAACATTTTACATGGTTTTATTTTTGAGTGTAGTAATTTTTTGTATATAATTCTATATATGTAAGTTCAACTTTCATGATAAGGAGATTGCACAACAGTACTTGTATTAGGTGAATTGAAAATACTATTTCTTTTGTTTCTTTTTTACAGTGCAAATATTTGTAATCAAAAATAAAAATAAAGTGAGCACTGTACACTTTGTATTCTGCGTTGTAACTGAAATCAATATATTTGAAAACATCAAAAATATTTAAATAAATGGTATTCTATTATTGTTTAACAGCGTGATTAATTGTGCAATTAATCATGATTAATTTTTTTAATCACCTGACAGCCCTAATTTATATAGTGGCATTATGATAGTTTTTGTCTTATTATCTGTCCTTTTCCTAATGGTTCCTACCATTCTCCTAGCTGTTATGATTGTTGCTGCACATTGAGCAGATGTTTTCAGAGAACTCTCCACAGTGACTCCAAGATCTCTTTCTTGAGTGTTAACAGCTAATTTAGACCCCATCATTTTGTATGTATAGTTGAGATTATGTTTCCCAATGTGCATTACTTTGCATTTATCAACCCTGAATTTCACCTGCCATTTTGTTGCCCAGTGACCCAGTTTTGTGAAATCTCTTTGTAATTCTTCAGTGTCTGCTTTGGACTTAACTATCTTAAGTAATTTTGTATTATCTGCAAACTTTGCCACCTCACCGTTTACCCCTTTTTCCAGATCATTTATGAATATGTTGAATAGTACTGGCCCCAGTACAGATCCTTAGGGGACTCCACTATTTACCTCTCTCCACTGTGAAAACTGACCATTTATTCCTACCCTTTGTTTCCTATCTTTTAACCAGTTATAGATGCATGAGAAGACCTTCCCTTTTAGCCCATGATTGCCTACATTGCTTAAGAGCCTTTGGTGAGGGGCCTTGTCAAAGGCTTTCTGAAAGTCCACGTACATTATATCCACTGGATTACCCTTGTCCATGTTTGTTGATCTCCTCAAAGAATTCTAATAGATTGATGAGGCATGATTTCTGTTTACAAAAGCCGTGTTGATTCTTCCCCAACATATCATGCTCATCTATCTGTCTGATAATTCTGCTCTTTACTATAGTTTCAACCAATTGTCACCTAAAAAGAATGACTCGGGTGTGGGAATCTGCTGCACATCCTCTGCAGTGAAGACCAACCCAAACAATTTATTTAGCTTCTCCGCAATGGCCTTATCTTCCTTGAGTGCTCCTTTAGCATCTTGATCGTCCAGCAGCCCCACTGATTGTTTGGTCAACTTCCTGCTTTTGATGTAGTTTAAAAAAATGCTGCTCGTTTTTGTGTCTTTTGCTAGTTGCTCTTCAAATTCTTTTTTTTTGGCCTACCTAATTATGCTTTTACACTTGACTTGCCAGAGTTTACATTACTTTCTATTTTCCGCAGTAGGATTTAAGTTCCAATTTTTAAAGGATGCCTTTTTGTCTCTAACTGCCACTTTTACTCTGTTGTTTAGCTATGGTAGCATTGTTTTGGTCCTCTTATTGTTTGTTTGTTTGTTTGTTTTAAATTTGGGGTCTAGATATAGTTTGAGCCTCTATTATGGTGTTTTTAGAAAGTTTCCGTGCAGCTTGCAGGCATTTCACTCTTCTGATTGTTCCTTTTAATTTTTGTTTAACTAACCTCCTCATTTTTGTGTAGTTCCCCTTTCTGAATTTAAATGCTACTATGGTGGGCTTCTTTGGTATTTCGCCCCCCTACAAGGATGTTAAATTTAATTTCTATTACCGACGGTTCAGCTATATGCACCTCTTGGACCAGATCCTGTGCGCCGCTTAGGATTAAATCAAGAACTGCCTCTCCCCTTGTGTGTTCCAAGATTGGCTTCTCCAAGAAGCCGTCACTCAGTGATGTCTAGAAATTTTTATCTCTGCATGCCATCCTGAGAAGACATGTTCTCAATCAATATGTGGACAGTTGAAATCCCCTGTTATTATTGGGGTTTCTCTTTTTGTAGCCTCTCACTTCCCTATCCACAGCAAAAGAGTAGTAAAGGGGTAATTGTGGATCTGAGTCATAATTCCTTTCGAGGTTGCTCCTTGAATTGATAAATGTGTCATCCCTTACTCAAGGCTGAGCCTAAAGGATCAGTCTAGCCCTCAATGCTCTGTTGCCGAATATGTTAAAAATTTAACCCAGAATATACAGTTAATGCAGATTTACTTCATTCTCCAGTTTCAGGTACTAATCCCCTGATCTCTATTGAGGGTTACCAGGACGGAGGTATCCGAATGGTGTGTCAATCGGGTGGATGGTATCCAGAGCCTCAGTCGTTGTGGAAGGAACTCCAAGGACAGCCTCTTCCATCATTGCCTGCAAAATACTTCCGTGATGAAAACGGCCTGTTTCAGACTGAATCTGTACTTATTGTAAGAGAAAATTCCAACCGGAATCTGACCTGCACAATCAGAAACAACATCCTGAACCAAGAAGAAGAATCAAGCATTTATATAGCAGGTCAGTTCATACATCTGTTGATATGAAATCTGGTTCGATAACCTGTTTGTCCTACATCAGTGGTCTTCAATCTGTTGTCCATGGACCCCTGGGATTAGGCAGACTGTGTCTAAGATTTCCTCCATTTGAAATTTTTTAGGGGTTCGCAAATGAAAAAAGGTTGGCCTACATGCATTTCAGGACTAGTCTGCTTGTGTAAATAAAGTCAATTACACTGAGAATATGTCCTGACTTCATGACACTGGTTTTCCTCTTCTGGAAACTGATGAGCAACGCCCAGATATTTGCTACCACTCGACAGAGGGTTGACACTGGCGTTAGAAATGAGATTCTGATATGGGGGGTGGGGGTAAGAGAGACAATAACAAGGTAAATAATAAAAATTCATAATAAATTAATAATATGCATTTGTTTTTCAGATTCTTTTTTCCCGAAGGTCTCCCACGTGACAGTGATTCTCCTGTCACTAAACCTGTTGGTTTGGGGTTTTTTCATTCCTTTGCCTATTTACTATTTATGGAAGCAATACAAAGAAAAAGGTAATACATGGGGAAAAAAGGGGACAGTACAGACAGAGCTGTCCTATGGACGGACCGGGGCAACAGCTTTGGTGTGCCCTGTGCTTCGGGATGTGGAGTCCACAGTGGCCTCGGGGGGTTAGCAGGGAGCCTGGCGCCAGCAGCAGCAAGTGACCCCGGTCCCAGCCCGCTCCGCTCAGCCCTCCCCACCATCACGTGGAGTGGGGCGGGGGTTGTCCCAGGCCCCGCACCCCCCTGGGGACAGTCCTGAGTACAGATGTAATCAGAGATATTTTTAAAATGAGAGAGGGTGGTGTATAGAAGGATTAATAGAGGATTTCCATTCAATGTTCAACTTTCCTTGGGGTTCTCTTGTGCTTCCTATGCACAGCCACATGTTGACTGTGGACAATAGTTACACCGTGTAATGATCTAATTGTAGGCAGGTTATTTAGAAACTCTGTCCCTTTGTAAATCAAGTATGGAAGAGAGACAGAGCCTTCAGATACTTAAAATCTTCCCTCTGGAAGAGTAATCTTGACACTCTGTCAGGGGAGGCAAATTATGGCCCTCAGCGCATAGGCACCGACTCCGTGGGTGCTCCAGGGCTGCAGCACCCACCGAAAAAAAATTAGTGGGTGCTTAGCACCCATCAGCAGCTAGCTCCCCCCTCCTCTCCAGCACCTTCCATTCACCAGCGGCCCTGCTGATCAACTCCTCCCCTCCCCCCTCCTTCCCTCCCAGTGCCTCCCGCCTGCCGCGATCAGCTGTTCTGCGGCATACAGGAGGCACTGTGGGAGGGAGGGGGAGGAGCGGGGATGGGGTGGAGGCTTGAGAGAAGAGGTGGGGCGGGGCTCAGGGCAGAGTGGGGGCAGAAGTGGGGGTTTGGAGGAAGGGGTCGGGTGGGGATGGGGCCTGGGATGGAACAGGGGGTTGAGCACCCCCGGGGCCCGGAGGAAGCTGGTGCCTGTGGCCGGGGTGCCTGCCAAGGCTTGGGACTTCAGCCCTGCAGGAAGCACCTGCTGGGGCTTCTGCCCTGTGGGAGATGCCTGCTGGGGCTTGGGCTGAAGCCCCCCTACCAGGGCCATCCCTACCCATACGCAAAGTACGCAGCTGTGTAGGGCACCAGGAAATTTGGGGCACCACATTTCCTGGTGCCCTGTGTGCTGCTCCAGCTCCTGCTCTGCCTCCTCCCCATGGCCCATGCCCCTGCTCCGCCCAGCGCCACCCCCACTCCACCCCTTCCCCAAAGCCCCCACCTTGCTCCGCCCCAGCCCCGCCCCCACTCCACCTCTTCCTGCCCAAGCGGCACCCCCACTCCCCTGAGGACTGCTGCAAGGATCAGGGCCTGCACTCACCGCGTAGTAGGTGGAGCGACCTGGTCCCAGCTGTGCTGCCTGTGAGTGCAGGGGGGCGGTTCTCTCCTTGCCCCCCAAGTCTGGGAGCCAGGGGAGCAGAGTGGAGTGGGCTGGGGTGCGGTTTCCCTTCTACCTCCCAACCCCTCCCCATGGAGGCCTGGGTCCAGCTCTCCCTCCCCATGGAGGCCCGGGGCCCCACACAGCTGCCCTGTGAGGGGCTGGGCACCAAAATGGCTAGGGACGGCCCTCCTCCCTGTTGTGCAGAAGCCCCAGCCCCACTACCCTGCTGCAGGGCAGAAATCCCAAGCTCCCCTCCCAGTCTGTAGGCAGAGAAGGGGGGGGGGTTCCGCGAGTGACACTTTAACTGTAAAAGAGCCGCATGCGGCTTATGAGCCATGGTTTGGCCACCCCTGCTGTATGTGAATGAGAACTCCTACAAATTCAGTATATTACAAAATACAATACAATTAAGGCAAGTTAAAATACAATGCAATGAAGAAACATTATGCAATTCTCTGTGTCAGAAGATGACGTGAAAAAAAAATCATTTCAGCTTAACAGTTTCATTATGAAATGGCAATAGTACAAAAATCATTTTTATACTATTAGAATGTCTTCTTTTTTTTGGCATAGTAATGAGAACTGCAAGATACAGGCAAAAGATATAATTCTGCTTCTTTTATCTAGAGTGAATTGCACATAGTGAAACAAAGCTGAATGCTGTTTCTTGGTATGCAAAACAATCCAAACCTACATCTACTTACTGTGCGATTAAAAAAAACCAAAACGATTTCAACTTTTTTTTGGTTTCTGATTAATTGTAAATTACCTTCCACATCCTGTACACCTGTTTGTTTGTTTTTCAATTACCGCTGTTTCTATCACAATTATAGCAAAATTACAATAAATATCAGTTGAAATGTCACCATAAATGTGAAAGGATGACATCTAACATATCTGATCTTTTCCTTCCACTAGATTCTCTGCACTCTAAATTGAAAGTCTTTGAAGGTAAGTTTATGGGTTGTATGGAGCAAGTGAGCTAGCTGATATAAATAGTCCATGAAATAAGGTAAGTCAAGAAAAGAGCATTTATTATCATGTATGTGTAGTCCCTCCCATGAGGTGTGGCTTAAGCCTCTTCCCTTTTTTTCTCTGTCTGGTGCTTGCTATCGTTAATATTGAGAGTTTACATATGCACAGGCATTGGCTCTGACTTTAATTTTTCCCCCGGGGTGCGAAACCCCCATTTCACCCCGAGGCCCCATCCCCACTCTGCCTCTTCACCTGAGGCCCTGCCCTCACTCCGTCTCGTCCTGCCTCCTCCCTGCCCCCTCCGTTGAGGCCCCGCCCTCGCTCTGCCTCTTCCTGCCCCCGCTCCAACCCAGGCCCCTGCCACTCGCTGCTCTCCCCGCTCCCCCACGTACCTCCTCCAGCCGCCAAACAGCTGTGGCTGGTGGGTGCTGAGCACCCACTATGTTTTTTTCCATGGGTGCTCCGGGAGCACCCATAGAGTCAGCATATATGTACACAGGGGTGCTGTCCCTTGAGAAAATTAGTACAATTACTGCTAGCTGGCAAGGAATGTAAAGCCTAGTACACAGGGGACAACAAGGCAAACAAAACAAACTTAGCAAGGTAACAACACAGCGAAAATAAGAGCATAACAGAGGGTGGGACATTATTGGGAACAGGAAAAATAGGATGTGGGGAAGGAAGGGGTTAAGTTTAACTAATACTTAATAAACATTGATAAACAAACCTTTTCCTTGCCCCTGAGCACTCACAAAGTCCTCCAGCCCCCAGCTTCCACCCTCAAGTATCAGGGGGTAGCCGTGTTCGTCTGTATCCACAAAAACAATGAGGAGTCCAGTGACACCTTAAAGACTAACAGATTTATTTGGGCATAAGCTTTCATGAGTAAAAACCCCACTTCAGATGCATGGAGTGAAAATTATAGATACAGGCATAAATATACTGACACATGAAGAGAAGGGAGTTATCTTACAAGTGTCAGGTTTCA